TCTATTTTACCAAGTTACCGACCTTTAATATGGAAACGAGTTCTTTAGACTTTTCTTCAAACACTTGAATAAAATCATTCAGGATYTTGAAATGAAATGTTGGRGTTATCAGTCTGCGCCGCTTCCTCCACTTTTCTCCGGTACTAGAGAGTCAAATATAATAWATCTAAGGTTGTCKTGCCTCAAACTCTGTAGTTCACGATAAGTCGTGACGTGTTTCATATGCACAGTGAACATGAACAGTCAACGATGCAATGGGACAATGATGATAGTGATGATGGSAATACCTTATAAGRAGACCTGCGGACAGAAGGCAATCAAGGTATTAGAAAAGCCATTGAGTGAATAAAGACCCGATGAGATTTTGATTATACACACCAGTTCCTAACCATGGTCGCAACATTCCATACTCAAATGACTTATTAATTTGACGGTTGCTACCCAGAAAGATCTGTCGAGGAAGTACGTAAATGGACTCAAAATTATGTTTGACAAATTTTCGAAGAGGCAAATGGAACTTGCAATAGATTTCATTGATAAATTGTGACTATTAATCTGTGAAGTAGCTCTCCTTAATGCATTGTGYACTAACYAGTACACTATAGAGAGAAAATACCACACTAGAAGAATCTTTGTACTTAATGTATATTTTAATGACGTGTACTATACCTCCACAAGTTCAGGCTTGAATATCGTAACTACGACTCTAAATGAGGTATGCCATACACAAAAAAAGCCTTTGCTCCAATTTTCGTTGGACCACTGAATGCATTGGTCATAGAATTCTAAAATGCAATTAACAKCATTGGTTACAGCATGTTTTCGAGTCATATTTGGTATGACAAAGGTTGCGTGTGGATTGTACTCCCTGCGAGACTCGCATTGTTTGAGATATGCATACTGCAGTGAAGTTCATATTGATGTTTGATGTTTTGAAAGTAAAAGTTAATGTCAGTGTAAAATTGCAATGGTCCAAAATAAGGGTTTTGCTGGGTGCCAGCGTCAAGTCAAATGAATGTCTGATCCGAGAAAACAAATATAAATGTGAATCAAACCAAATAACATATCTAGGAACGGTTGACTGACCTGCTGAATCGTTCTTTAGTTGTAAAGCGTTTCCAAAAAGAAAGACTGGTTTAGGACCAGGACAATTTTCCTTCAATGGTTGCAATAACATCAGTTTCTTTCTCAACCACATCACAACATAGCAAATAGCGAGAACCACGAGAACAAGACAGGCTGATAGCACTGCATTGGCGGTCCATCTTATCCACGAACTTTCCACAGCCATTGATCAACTATTTACAATTATTAAAGGTGTTTGTGATCGTTGATTACAGCGAT